TTGCGGAATGAAGCAATAAGTCTTTGATCTGGAGATCAATTTGGTGTTTTGTTAAGCCTATTTTTAAAAAATAATGAATAATGAAAAATTTTCGTGCGGCAGATAAACCCCATGCGGGCGGGGACGAGAAACATGATATCAATTTTCATTGGCCTAATGCAAGCTACATTTTCTTATCTTTAATGTGTGAATATTTTTAATTTTGTAAAGAAATAAACGCAATATGTTGTTGGAGAAAGTATCGAGTGCTTCATAATATTTAAACGCTCAGATCTTGTATAAAGATATTCGTTATTTATTCAAAATCTACCCTTTATCACCACTTTTTTTATTTTTTTATGTTAAAGTATACATAATCCTTGACTTAAAAACACGATGATCTACTCGAGGAAAATTGGGCAAAAGGGCGATCTTTGCAGAGAAACTTGACCGTTCGGTGAAATTGGTAGTTCAGAGACCCTATTTTCATTGTAGTATTTCTTGGCAATTTGTTGGCCGATTTCTAGTTTATATTGTAGAACGGGTTGTTAGTGAATTAAATTAATTGTCTATTCTCTACAGAGTAGTAATAAGCGCGATTCCTTTTTGTTGACGGATGTTGAATTCAATTTAGACTTTTGTTCATAAACAACAACTACGCTACCAAGTACTAAATCACTGTTTGCAAAGAAATGAGCCTATATCATCACAAAAATTCAAGCTTATTTTTAGGGTCAAATAGTTTCTCCATGAATAAAAGTAGTTTTTATGAAGTGAAAAATAGGGCAAGTACGAGTTTAAAGAAGGTCAATCTGCATTTGTATGTCTCACTTCGAAAAGGATATACATATTAAAAACAGGTATTTGCACTGCGAAATTAAACTGCTGCAACAAAGTTTTTGTTTCTACTTTCACGTTCTTATTCGAAAGCCAATACTTCTAAGTTGAAATGCCTAAAATTGTGCCGTAGAAACACTAAAGAAACAAGAAAACGACTTCATAACACGAGGAGTTTTGGCAAATTTGATGTTTGCTTTTATAATTTAGTCACGCGATTAACCCGCGCTCACGTGCACTCCACGCTTACGTTTCTCGGGCATGCGTAGACAAAAGTCCACCCTGTTCACCCTATTGTCTATTTTGTGATTTTATCAGTGAACGTTGCCTGGTATGTACCAGGAGATTGGTTGCAAGTCAAAAATATAACGTTTTGCACCTGAATTACTTTTCGAATTTTCGGAAATTGAAATACTTTACTTTCGCCGATGACCTCACTTTATAACTGGAGTGAAATCTCTCGAAGCGAAAGAAAGCCTAGTAAGTAGAATAGAATAGAATAGAATACCAAACATAAACTACTTATCTGTCGTTGCTATGAGTAATCTGCTCGCATACGTATTAAATTTCGATATTTCAGTCTTTATAGCCATAGGCGTAGGAAGATCGATAATTGGGGGGGGGGGGGG